GTATATTTCAGCTGTTTTACATGATTGTTGAATGAAATTAACATAATTATTAATACATTGTAAAAACATGACAGATAATCTGTGAAACAGATCTGGTTCAACTTGTTGTTTATCTAATAGTTTCTATGGAGGCTGTGAGCTGTTGTCCTGTCTCTGTTTCTGCTCCTCCATGCTGTCACAGACGGTACCAGTGGACGGGATGGGCGGGGCTCAGTCTAGTGTTCCTATTAAAGTCTATGGTCTAAACTCATCATGAAAGGGGTTGTTTGTGCACGCTAAAAAAATGAAGTGCTGAATTTACTCAACCAAGTCATGTCAACTGTCCCACTAAGGCAATATACATATTTTAATAATTTACTCAACTTGGTTTAGTGGAACCTGTTTGGTTAATAAATTCAACAGTTTATTTCTTAGTGTGTAAAAGTACTTCTGCTTTTACTTCTACTTTCCTGATTTTTGCGAATAGTGTAATGACTTTTACTTAAGCAGTTTTCTCATCAGTAAAATTTATTTTTACCAAAGTCATTTTCTGTTAAGATGTTTTTGCTTTTACTTTACTTATTTTCTTTCAAGTACTTTATAGACCTCTGCGTTTATTGATACTTGACAGCTGATGGGTTAAAAATATAAATCTTTGATGCCTCATGCAATTATAAAATCATTTTCAAAATGACTACCCCGCACGCTGGCAGAGGGAATGAATCTAGTTAATGACATCATAATGACTTATATGAAATGTGATTTTACACTTTAAGACACTTCAAAATGCTTTTTTTCACACTCTCAGGTCTTCTTCCCATATCTCTTAGTTGCACATTTTAATTTAATTAAATGTAAAATCTTATATTCTTATGGTAAAAAACAAAATAAAAAATGTTTTAGGTCATCCCAGCTGGGAAAATTTTTTCCTAGGGAAACTACAAAGTGCTTCTGAAAATAAAATACATTACTTGTGAAGAACTGTCTGCTCTGTTTACGTCTTAAGTAAACACAGATTTAATTAGTGCTTCTGCCAGAAATGACAAGTTCTTTTTTGAACTTTCTCTGACAGAAGAAAATTGGTGAATGCAGTAGTTGGAGGGAGAAGCAGCGGCCAAGCAAATGGAGACAATACATAAAAAACCCAGAATGACTTCATTAGTGCCGATACAGCTGTCACTTCTATCTCCAACACAATGACTGAACAAGTCAGATGACAGTCAATGACAAGCAAGGCATTCAGACAAAATGTCATTTTCATTGTCAACAGTCTGAATAAATACATGAAAATAGATGTGTGATGTGAACGAGAGGCTGGGAATAAAAAGAGATGGAGCTGGCTGCATGTTCTATTCACTTCTACTAAATAAGAATTTAAACGTTAATGGAAATTTGAATTATAATTAGCTTTCATCTACACAAAAGCAAAACAGAATACTATGTGAGGACATTCAGTGACATAAAGCATTGTGCACTACTTTAAAACTCATTACTAACCACCATAACCTTAAGCTTTATCACGTTGTATACTTGGCGTAAAAAATGGTAAAATGCGCCTAATTTTTCAAACGCGTCCAAACACTAATGATTCAAAAGTTAAACAGACTCTCACTAAGCTTCATCAATAAAATAACAAACAACAAAAACAAAAAATAAAAATAAAAAAGGGTTAATTCCGCATGAAGTAACTGAAAACTGCATTCAACACAAAGTCATATCTTTTGAAACATCACAATCACAAAATTTGGTCCCCAATAACTAAACAAATAAAGTAAACTGAAAACAGAACTTGACTAAAAGTTAATCCACCTCTGAGTCAACAAAGCTGTCACAAGACCTATTGAGAGTGTGTGTTTAATAGAGATGAAGCACAGTGAAATTCACAGCTGTAGCCATCAACACTGTTGTCCTTAATGTGACTCTGCAGCACAAACTTACTTTTTGAAAGCACACACTGCTAAAGCTCTACCAGCAAATGACATAACTCTTCAAAATGACCATTCCAAGATAACTGCTGGTCTTACTCCAAAACTGAGCCTAATCACAACATCAGTTTAAACCAAGATATACGCTCATCTTGAAATTCTGTACATTATCCTGTAAAATAAGTTTCAATTATGAGAAAAGAGGCTTTGATATCTGCATTTTGAGTTTTACCTGAACAAGTTTGTATTTTTGTTCTTATTATGATTGTGTATTGACAACCACTCATCATTTCCAGTCATTTCTGTAAAGTAACCCTGACTCACTTGCGTACACCTGACCATTACAGTACATAAGTAACCCTAACCCCACCCTCATGTATACCTTATACCTAGACATAACACCCAACACATCAATGGCATTCCACCATATTAGGACCAATCTTTGGTCCACCCCAAAAAAGTATTGGTGCTGACAAGTACATATTTATATCAGAAACTGTCATAAAAATGCAACCAAAAACCAGGCACGCAAAGGTTTGTTTTCATATCCCTGTGAGGACTGTGGATTGACTTACATTTGTTTTCTGGTAATTTTATAGATTAACCATGACCGTTTATCCTAAAATTTACCTCACAGGTGCCAACCTGCCCTAAAACTAACCTAAACTCAATTCACACCTTGGTCCTAAACCTAACCCCACACCTGAAATTAGCATTTGTACCAATGGGGGCCGGGCATTGGTTCCCACGACACACACACTTTAGAAAGGAAGAGAACACACATGGTCTCTGAAACAGGGTATCCCAAACTTTATTTTACTGGTTTTATCAGAAGTACCATAGAGAGCAGTCACAGTTAGTGGCGACACACATACAACTTTCTGCCTACCAGTTGGTGTTTAACAAAAAAAAAAAAAAAAAAAAAAAAAAAAAAAAAAAAAAAAAAAAAAAAAA